GTGTGAGTAGAACCTGAATTTGTGCCTTAATTGTTTGCTATGTAGCCTCCGGAACTGTGATGCGACAAACTTTAAGTCCTCTGCTACAAGCGCGAATGACTCTACTTCAGAAACTGCTTTTACTGTCCTAGTGGATGATGGAAGAATCACACCTGGACGTGGATCGAGTGCCCACGTTAGCAGTTCCTCACCACAGAAGTCGCCTGGACCAATACGACAAGAATTGAAGAAACCAGTACGACCACCATTGGTGGTGTGAGAATCAAGATTCCCTCGAATTATGAAGAGCATTTCGTTGACAGGATCACCCTCGCGCACAAGACAAGTGCCTTGTGTACATAAAGCAGGTTTTAGCCTCTCACATATTGCATCCAGCATCCTTTCATCCATTTGATCAAACAGAGGAACCTATCAAATTTCACCACTGGATAAGTCAGACAGGTATACTACTACTAACATTTGCATATTCTTTTCTTTCTCGTGCTACTTTCTAGTGCATCAGGATGAACTATATTAAGTTTCCCCAATTATATCTAGTATTGCTTCAAGTATTCCAAGACCGAGTTCTTTTAACTTTCACGCATACAAATAGGAGATTACTTCTATTAGACCTCCTACTAAACAAGAAGACTAAACAATGAACTGTAGAACTCACCCTTCGAACTAAATCATAGCACAAATGGCGCTTGATATCTCTACGGAGATCTAAAGGAAGTCCTTTGAGAAGAGCTTCCTCATCGACTCCTCTTGTAGCCACCCATTTGTATTGATCATACTTCCGTACAGACTGTCTTAGTTCTTGAGGTAATTGCCTATGATGCATCCATTGTTCTGTGTCAGTTCTCCTGATTCTCCATTCCTCTAATCTTACAGTTGTTGATTGGAGATAAGTCTGCCAATGGAAGTCAGTGAGTATATATTACCAACAAACAGACACAAGTCATGTTACAGCCCATAGGATTTGAAGACTATCTCAAATTTAAAATGCAGTAAGATGTACAGGAGCAGACTTACTTGCATATTTCCAATCAGCAATGCGAACAGAACTAGGCCGAGGGTTGCAATTATGATGGCAAAACCTATTTCTCCGACGTAAGTGCTTGTTGCAAGATTTTGTCCCAGAGAACTGCGTATCAAACAACATAAAAATGAAGTCAAGATTTATATATATATAAGGTTATAATGATAAGGCGTTTGAAGTGCCTTATATATATATATATAAGGTTATAATGATAAGGCGTTTGAAGTGCCTTACCTTAGATTCTTCAAGCCCCACCACAGGCAGTAGAAGTATTTGTTGAAAAATGGAGCAGTCGTCACATTAGCTGTCACGGAATCACTGTAAATACCAAAGGGGTAATCACTAGTATTAGGATTGCATTGTTTTGTAATATTGCTGGACTGGAACCATGCATTTCTTTGTGGATCCTTAACCCTCCAGCAGTCAAAATATCCAAAATCGCAAGATCGCTCCTCAAAACTGCAAGCATGTCTCCAGCAGGCTTCTTGCCTCTCAATTGATAGAAGGTACCAACAAGCTCCTCCTACCTATATTCACAGCAAAAATTCATTAACTTATACACTAAAAACTACTACTGTTATTACTGTGCTCGCACTTTAGCACTACAGTAACGAAAGAAGAAGAAAAACCACTGAAACCACTTACATGGCTGGCTAACATGTAAAGCATCAAGTTGTAAGCAGCTCCAGCCCATGCTGTTTCAGTAACAACACCAGTAGTCTTTACAATTTGTGACGACAGTGGAAATATGAGATAAAGTCTGGGAAGGTACTGAAAAATGATAATGAATCTAAGGACATTCTTCGTGTTGGCCATTGTCGAGCCACTTAAATTAGGGATAATGGCCCATATTAATACCTGAAAAACATGGATAGTAATCAATTCATTAGTATTTTCAACTTTATTCCACTATGGACGATAACAACCCAAATTTCCAGTTGACAGACCTGTGGTAAAGGCAGGGCAGCAATGATATCGATCCAGAAACCTTTTTTAAAGTATCTGTGACCGATCTTTGAAGAATCTATAACAAGCTCTCCTCTCCCAAATACTCGAGAAGATGGAGCAACATAAGCAGTTCTAAACCGAACATATATCTGAATCATATAAAAGACATCAGCTATTGATCTAATAACTGTAAGGACAACTTCCAGATTAGTTCCTATATCAATGCAGACTTTATCTTGGACCACCGGCAAGTAAAAGAATAGAGGGTCCACGAATAAAGCGACTAAACAAGCTACTAAGAAAATCTTGTTCCATCTACGAATTGTTGGTCCACGAGGATCCAGTATCTTTTTCTTCACTCTTTCATAGTCTTCTGAGAATACCCTCGATAATACTTTAGCCTTCAGGGATTTTCCTGTAGTTATATCCTCTTTTTCATTCTTTCTACTAGCCAGCTCTGGTAATCGCGATCCGTCAATCTTGTACTTCACTTTAATCAAATTATCTCCATTTATTGTTGCATACTTTGTTGTATCAAGATCATCTTGAAATCTGAAATTCGAAAGGTAACTATATAACATATTTGATTACAATATCACCCCACCTAATATTGTCTACAAAAATGAACATATTAGCTAGCAAATGAAAGAACAAAAAGGGCAGCCCGGTGCACTAAACTCCCGCTATGCGTGGGGTCCGGGGAAAGGCCGGACCACGAGGGTCTATTGTACGCAGCCTTTACCCTACATTTCTGCAAGAGGCTATTTCTACGGCTCGAACCAATGACCTCTTGGTCGCATGGCGGCAATTTTACCTGTTACGCCAAGGCTCTCCTTCTAAATGAAGGAATACACACAGGAAAAATTCATATACTAAATAACATAATGCAAGAAGCCAAAGTGGACTGACCTTACGGATCTGGAATTACCATAAGCCATGATACTGACTAAAAAATCAATCTCCTCAGAGCTTCAATTATAGATTTTCATATGTGGAACATAACAAAAAGAGAAGGCCTGTGATTTTCACGGACAAATAATCAGAAAATGACTCCTAATGAATTAGAAGCCACCAAAATAAAGAGAACTAGCTGTTCTTTCTTTCAATAGAAATCATGTGAAGAACTGAAAAGTTGAATACAAAATTACAAGTAAAGTAGTTAAGATTCTATTTTCTCAATTTTAAACTTAAAGTTCAAGTCAAACTTGTGACCAGGTCTTCAAATCTCACTATTTTTTTTATTTAGTCAATTAAATTCCAAACCCTTCAGAAAAATAAAATCTTTGATTTCTCAGTCCAGTGGTGGAAGAACCAGTCAACACTTAAAACCAGCCACGGCCCTAACTGCATCAAATTCCAACTATGCCATGCCCCAACATTAAAAATTAATAATAATAAATCAGACCCTTATAAATCAAAAAAGTAAATTTATGTTGAACAAACAGAGCTCAAAAAAGAACAAAGACTTAAAAAGGGCAGCCCGGTGCACTAAGCTCCCGCTATGTGCGGGTCTGGCGAAGGGCTCGACCACAAGGTTCTATTGTACGCAATCTTATCCTTGCATTTCTGCAAGAGTCTCGAACCCATGACATCTTAGTCACATTGCAGTAATTTTACGAGTTACACCAAAGCTCACTTCAGAACAAAGAAGTAAAGCAAAATAATAATCAGACCCTTACAACAACAATAACAATAACTTAGCCTCAATCCCGAACAAGTTATGATTGGCTATACTCATTTTTCATGTCGGTCCATTTAAGTCAATCTCCGCCCAATATAAATCAGACCCTTGTAAATCAAAATTACACAGTAGAAGAAAAAAAATGCTGATGAAAATAACTACTACTAGCACCCGTTGATACTATGGGAAAGAAAGCAACTAACCATCAAATTTGAGGAGCAAAATGCAGTACAAATATGAAGCTCAAAATCAAATCTTTTAATATACCCTCAGCACCCTTTTCTTTGCTTTGCTGATTTCTATTTGTTTTCCTTAATATTCCCAGAGAAAATCAGAAACCCAATACAGTAAGCAAAGCCCAGAAAAGGAAAAGAAACAAACTTTTTGATAAATTAAGAAGAAAGAGAAAAAGGGACAAACTGAAATTATGGATATTGCTATATTTTGGAGGGAAAAGAAGACAATATATCTCTTTAGTCTCTTCTCTTGCTATTTGCTGCCACCCCCAGTTGCAGAAATATAGGAGCGGCAGAGTTTCAGTTACAAAAATGGAACTTATATACTCAATTTTTATACCTTTCTTTTTAATTTTTTTTTTATGATGTTAACCATGTCTTATTATTTGTCTTGTTATATATGAATTAAATGTATAGAGGTGGAGCCCTTAAATTATCACCAAACGTATAGCTTGTTTATTTACTGGGCTCGCAGTTAAATATTTTTATACATTTAATAAATTTTTTAATATCAATATAAGGTCTAAGCAAAAGCTACTGGGTTTGTCCAAGCTTATGTCTACTTCTCTGCCTTTGAAATGTATGATTATAAAAGCTTCTCATTAAAAATAAAATGAGAAGTGTAAAATTAATTATTTTTATGTTAAGAGTGTATTATTCTTTTAGAAACGAATGAATAAGAAAGTATTACGTTAAATTAAAACGTAAAAAATCAATTAAAGTGCACAAGAACGGTATTTTGTTTCCTTTTCTAGTTGAACTGCAGAATAGCATCGGCAAGAAAAAGACAAGACCGGGTATGAAAAAATCTTTGATAGGGAATGCTTCTCACCTCCCGAATGCGGCCCTACGTGACACGAATTCAAATATAATCGTCCAATGCGAATACCGGGCACCGAATGAAAAACAAAAAAAAAAGACAAGACATAATAGTGTGAAATGAATATATCCGGGCCAGAAAAAGTACACAATTGGCTGGAGTATGGATTTTGTATTTCTTTTACCTTTTTATTAAAAATATTTTCCTTAATTGTTGTAAAGATCCAAGGAGTTGACTAACTGGATAGAGTCACGTGGCACTGTGACATATGCTGCTACTTCTCACTTTTTTACTTACTACTTGGAATTTTTTATTTTTTTACCGGAAAGGCCTGCATCAGACAAAAAAAAGGAGAGAAATGTGTGATGAAAAGCAAAGCTGCATATATGTTTGAAAAGGCATAATAAATCGATAGCCCTTAACGTTATCCACGCTTTTCACTTAAGCCTCAATTTTTTTTAAGATTAAGGTCGTCTGAATTTGAATACACACCTAAATATAAAGATATGTATTAAGATTAAGATATCTGAATCTGAATACGTATCTGAATATATTAAGATGTGAATTAAAATCTGAATACTAAATAATTAAGATTGTTTGATTTTTAACATCTGAATATATAAAATTTATCTTTATTTAAAAGTTAATAAATATAAAATTCAAACGAAATACTAACTAATCTAATATTCTATCAATAAAATATATATTTTTTTAAAATATAATAGTTGTTGATGGTGATGGCTAACGGGTGAATGCCGACTAGAGGCAGTGGTTGATGATAGTTTTGGTTGATGATGGTGGCTCATGCTAGTAGCTAGTAGTGATTGGTAGTAGTAGCGATTATGATTGAGGATGGTGGTGGTGGATGATGATAGTTAATAATGGCGGGTAGTGGTAGTAGTTGTGATTAAGGAAGGTGATGGGTGGGTGGTGGAAGATTATAATGATGGGTAGTGTCGGTTGTGGTTGTTAATGGTGATGGGGTAGTTAGTTGTGGTAGTTGAGGTGGATGAGTGTTGATTGTGGGTGAGAATGATGGTGGTCGGAGTGGTGGTGATGGTCGATAATGGTGGCGGCTATGATTGAGGATGATGTGGCGTCGTGGTGGTGGTGGTTGAGTATGGTGGTGGTGGCATGATGGTAGTTGATAATGATAGGCGGTGGCGGCAGTTAATAATGAATATGTGATAGCATCTTAATGAAATTAAGTCTTTATTATAGATCTTAATCATACAGACCCATTAAGTGGTTGTGAATTAAAAAAAACAAACACACTTAATGATTAAGATCTGAATAATCAAGATTCAAACTTTAAAAACAAACGCACTTAATATTTGAGATCTGAATGATTAAGATTCAGACCTCCATTAAGTGCAAACAAATGAGGCCTTAGACACTCTATCTTAAGTCCGTTCCATTTGAACACTTCAACCACATCTCATATGCACCATTTAGACACAAAATTAATAGGCAGCCAAACACAAAAGATATGTGAAATTCACATGCCAGAGTGACGAATAAGACAAGGACACATGGATTAAACTTAAACAAATTAAAATATAAAAAACCTACCCCCACCCCTTGGTCATCTTCCCCAACGATCCCCCTCCTTCCGCCCTTTTTCGACGACGCCTTTACTTTATTTTCACAAAACTCTCCACCTTCTTCGTTTTCTTCCTCATATCTGATGTGAAACGAGAAAGCAAGAAATGCTTTTAGATCTGATAAAAACCCCTCAAATCTAAAATGACTTTGCAAAAATTTCATATCGGAAATGAACTTTTTCGGCCAAAAAACTTTCACATCGTTGGAAATTTTGTAAGTTGCATATCCTTAAAGTTGCCTCTAAAAACCAAAAACCTTTGTAACCATGAGTAACCTTTATAAGTTGCAGATCTCCTTTTCCATCATTCATTCTCTCTTCTCTCAGCTTGCCGGAAAGTTCTCCATCGTGTTTGTCGGACTAAGTAGGCTAGGAGGAATAGAAGAAGGGGGTGAGTTGAGGAGGTGATTATATCGATGGAGATAGCATGGTGTAAACAATGAAATATTAAAAGAAACATTTACTGGAAAGTATTTCCGATAAAAACTATTCATTTTCCAGTAAGAAAGATGAGGAGCTTGTTTTTTGGACCATTTCACGCGCCTGAAAAATGTGAGGAACACTTGCCTTGTCATATTAGCCTTTTGTGTAAATGGAACATATGAGATGCGGTTGGAGTGTTCAAATAGAATGGACTTAAGATAGAGTATCTAAGTAAAAAGTGTGGACAACTTTAAGGGTTGTCGGTGTATTCTGCCTATTGAAAATGTTCTTTTTACGATATTAATGAATTTATTACAACAATAATAACAAAACCTAGTATAATCATACAAGATAAGGTCTGAGGAGGGTAGTGTATGTTAGGTGTTTGTCCTGATTTTCTTACCATATTTAATTTTCCTATCTTTTGAAGGAAAGAGAAACATAATACCATAATTGGATTTTCCTTCTTTTAGAAGGAAATTATATATCTCTCATGTTTGGATAGTCCCTTTCTTAGAGGAAAAGGTTTGGACTTCTATAAATTGATGATCCTTCCTTCTCATTCAGTAGCATCCACAATGTAGTCATAAGGGTTTTGTGAGTCTTATTTAGGGGGGATAACTTTTCGGGACAAATATTAGTGTGTCACTTGTGTTTTCCTCTTTGTGAGGTTGTTCTCTCGATATTTTGTACTCTCTTTTATATAGCGGATTGCTCATCTTCATCTGTGGGTATATTCAATTGACTGAACCATGTTACATATTTGTGTGTCTTTTGGTATATTTCTCTTTTGTTGTCTGATTTATCGTTGTTCAAGATTTGCTTACTAGTTTTCGCATGATGCCTGATTATTTTGATCCTAACAGTGTGTACCCAGACCTTACCCCTGCCTTGTGAAGGTATAAAGATAATTTTCGATAAACGTTCGTCTCAAGAAAAGATGAAAAAGAAGCAAAAATAACAAGCAATAACAACAACAAGGTAAGATAATAAAATAACTTAAGTGAAAGAAACCACATATAATAAAAGAAATATGCGGATTAGAAAATACGAAAATAAAAGATTAATACTAATACTAATACTGCCAGCATGAAAAATAGACAAACATGCCTACCTGCTAACCTTCATATCCTAATTCGTCACATCTATACCCTTCTATCAAGGTTCATGTTCTCATTAAGTTGAAGTTGTGTCATACTCTGACTATCAAATTAGTGTATTTTTATCATATAAATGCTTATCAAAAGATTTACTAATAATTACTTAATAAATGATCTAATTGAGTAAATAGTTTTTAAGTTATATGGCTTAAACTCTTGTTTTATTAGTGAATTATTTCACTTGTCTTTTCCTTAGCTTCTTTTTGTTCTTTCATTTTTGGTTTTCCAAAAGAAATTTTCTCCTTATTTGTTTAACTTTGCCACAATTGTACGGATGATTGGGTTTGTCGAACTCTAGGGGAAACATAATGTTCCTTGATTAGCAACAAATGGAATCTAACTCCTCACTAATTTGCTTAGGCATTAAACTTTTAACTCATTCTTAAGCCCAAATTGCATGTAGAGGTAAGGATTTAAAATTGTTTGATAAGAGTGAAGCTTGATTAGTGGATCACTGAAACTTAAATATTAAAAAACATTAAGTTATTCCATATGAATTTTGTCACTGAATTTGAGACTTAATTGTCTCTTTACATTAGTAGATCTGTACTTAGACGTACATCCAAGTACCTAAATATGTGTATCTTTAATTTTTCATATGTATTCAAGTTTAAAACAACAATAAATGTAGTGTAATCTCACAAGTAAGGATCTGGAAAAGATAGTGTGTACACAGTCTTACCCCTACCTTATTCAGTTAGAGACTTTATTTTCGGTAGACCCTCGACTCCAAACAAACATGCGAAACACGATAGTATACAGAAGAAATGCAATTGTATAAGTTGTTATTAAGTTTAGAATGCGTAATGTAAAAGCAGAAAATATTCTTCACTTAATTTTTTCTGCTTTATCACGATTCGTGATCCACATTGTGTTAAAAAAATTTAAAAGGAGGGTAGGAATTAGTTTTGTGTGAGAATCAGTAAACCAACAGGGAGAATATTATGTCCCCAAAAAATTTGAAATTTGCACCTTTAAATGAGTAAAATACCATTAAGAACATTAAGCCCCTTTTTTAGGGTTGAAAAATTGACTAATTAGCACTAACAACAATAATTGCATTATTCCCTTTTGTCCGTGTGTCCAGAAGAATGAAAATTCCACCTCTCACCTCAAACTTTATTAAGAATTTTTATTTTTTGAAGAAAAGAAAAAAGTGAAAAAGAAACAAAAGCATCCAACTGGATAGTTTGACAATAGGGCTAAAGGGAGTTCAATCATTGGCCTAATTTTCTTTGGCTTAGCCGCTTAGGTCACAATTGTCAAAGGTTATATTT